TCATTTTAGTGGAGCAACAGTATGGAACTGTGAAGGTTTTTCTTAAAGGAAGAGTTCTCTTAAAAGATCTAATCTCAGCATTTAATTATATGTGTTTTATAATCTACTGGTGATTTAGCTTTGCTTACTCCATTATACCACTGTATTTACCATGGGAATAGTTACAAGTACAGAGTGTCTCGTCTTTCTTTCCTGGTAAAATCTGCCTTTGTAATTCACATCTAAGTAAAAAGTCATTTGTCCACTTGGGTGTTGTGTGAACTCCTGACTGCAGGCAGCAGCCACAGACACGCAGTGCAGCCCCAGGCACAGCGCTGCAGCAGTGGGCACCGCCATCAGTGAGCACCGTTAGGCTGCACCAGCACCAGGGAAACTACTGTGACACCAGAGGTCTCCCATATCCTCTGTGAGTCAGTCCGGGCCTTTCTTGTGCCAGTGAGGATGGCTGTGGTGTGAGGAAATATAACATAACATGACATGACGCAGCGAGTGTGGAGATGTGGACCTCTGGCTGTGACTCTGTGCCCCCCGCCCCGGGGACTTTGCTGTGGCCATGTAGCACCCTACGGGACCCACGCCTTCCACCCTCCCAGAATGCTCTAGCTGCATCCTAGTAGGATGAGCACAAGTCACCCCTTGGTGGCGTTTTATTCTCAATTAACAGAAATGTCTTTTAATTCAGCTAGGGTAAACGGCAGGGCCCTCAGATGCTCCTGCAACTTGCTTGGCCTCCCATAAGCCTTGCACTGTACTGGGGTTCTCCTTGCCATTTGTTACGGCTCTACGGACTCCTCTGGGTCCACAGCTACCCCAAACCCTGCCCCAGAGCCAGTGAACACTGCTCCAAAACTCTGACTAGCCACCAGACCCTGCCTGAGTGCCCCTGAAGACCTCTAAGACTGCCCGTAGGGCCTTGAAACACCTCAAACCCTGCCTCAAGGTCTCCAGCGCCCACTTCCAAACATCCATTTCACACTTCCATTCCATGATCATTTGGCTTACATTTT